GTAGTGGTAGTGGCAGTAGTAGTAGCAGCGGCAGCAGCAGCAGCAGCAGCAGCAGCAGCAGCAGCAGTAGCAGTAGCAGCAGCAGTAGCAGCAGCAGCAGCAGCGCTGCTGCTGGTGCTTGTAGTACTAGTACTAATGAGTAGCACCTGTAGTGCTAGCAGCAGTAGGAGAGGAGGAGGAGGAGTGGCAGCAGATAGCAATCGGTGCAAGGTCGGGCTCCGAGTCCGCAGTGCGGACCTGGCACGTCCGGTCTTGCAGCGGGCATGCGGGGCTCTGAGCAGCTTATGGGCCAGGGCATTGTCTCTCTTGGTGAAGGAAGGTACGCAGAGGAGGTTGTTTGTTGGGTTTAGCGGCGTAATTTCGGTGGTTGCAGATGTAGCAAGGGTCTGGAACTTAAGGGCGAGGCCTCGAAGATTAAAGACCTGAGGTGCGCCTCAGCTGGGGACTCGTTGCTGGTGATTCGATCAATTTGTACTGTGTTGTTCCTTCAGATTCCAGATTCCAGAATAAACAAACTCCTAGTTTCAGTTCTAAAGTGAATGGAAGCAGCAATAGCAAAGAGATGTAGACTAATGGCAGAGTCGCTGTTGTACCCATTTCCAGCAAGGTCGACATTTGGAGCTTTCAGACCTCTGCTTACTGAAGTTGAACGCGGCCAGAATTTGGGGCAGTCAGCAAGCAAAAGCTGTCCGCCGCATTGTCTGCATGCTTTTGAGTAAACAGAGCGCCTTCAAACCCTGCATGACCCGGTCCAGTCATTCAAGCTCACCTCCGAAGCCGAAACTCTTAACCCCGGGCCCTAACACCCGTATTTACCAGGCCTCCCAGCTCTCCAGAGCCGAGGGCTGCAGCTGCGTGGCTGCATGTTGCCTGCTTTGCAAAGCTTTGGTGTTCATGGGGCTGTCATTTTTGCTTCAGAATACCTGGAGAGGATTGGAGAGGATAGTTCCATACTTCCGCAGGCCCGTGATCCTCCTCTGTATAAACATCTGCGCGTTGCTACACCAGGGGACAGGGGCGGGTCTGCAGAAAGTGTAAACCTCTCTCTCGGTTCTTGGAATGGTGCGCCGGAGGGCTTGAATCACAGGGAATAGGCAGCTTACAAGATCTATCATTGGATTGATGACCGTCTGTCCAATGCC